GTTCTAGTTAAGAAAATAAGTTGTCAGCTCCTCAGTTTAAACAAAAACAGGCTCTTACTTCATCAGCACACTTGGTGATCCCTGCCAGCAGCATTAATAGCCGTGGCGCAGCGATACAGAATTCAAGTGTTGTGAGTCGGTCATAGATGTGCTTATATAAAAGTATTTTGCATCAGCTTCAACCGTGGCTCAGCCAATCAGATTTTAGGACTGTAACTTTTTTATCGTTTCTGAATTCCAGCACAGTGCCTAAGAACTTTAAAGCCATGCTTCCACCTTCAAGATGCCTCATCAGAAGGCCTTTAAACCTGAGAACTCTCACTGTAGATCCTCCATATGATGCAAGTACACAGATGTAGTAATGGAAAATGCTTCATTTTGGCTGGAGTGTCCTTTAAAACCAGTTTTGTGAGACTGCAGACTGAAGGAAGCCTAAAAGCCTCACTAGCATTCTTGAGAAAACAGAAGCTATTTTGCTGAGATGCTAGTCAGTTAAAGCTAGCTGTAATTCTTCTTGAAAACAGGGGGGGAGAGGGCAAAAAAGAGAGCTTCAGGGGAACTAGTAATGAGAGGAAAGAGAAGCTGCGATGCTGGAAAGAGTCTTTCATCCCCTAAACGAGGCAAACAATCCGAGATTGTGTTAGCTGGCAGCTTTAGCTGCTGCTCAGGGCTTTCTGTTCACTCTGCTGAGGATTTTAGAGCAGCTTGGTGCCTGCCGCTGTTGCTCTGAGGGAAAACTCCTTGTGTGTTTGCCGTAGTGGAGTGGAGCGTGTGTCTGTGCGTGTGAGTCTGCGTGTGTATGTGCTTGTGTGAGTGTGTAATTTCGTGGATGTGTGCGCTAAGTCTGCGAATATATGTGTGTGTGTGGGCACGGGCACATAGCCGGTGTTACTGCTGTCATCCTGCCTCCACTGACTGCCTTTTATACTCGTGCTGACGTCAGGGCCGGTCCGTTTCCCCGGTAACGGCAGCTCTGCGGTGATTCACACAGCGGCGGAGAAATTCTTTAACGTGGGATTTTTTTTCCTCGCTCCGCGCCATGTGAGAAATTCTCGTCCTAAAAGAGCAGCCATGCTGTGTGCTACACGATGCACCAATGCCACCCGTGCAAACAGACACTTGGACTGGGCGCTAAGAGCGAGAGCTGTGAGTAACTTACAAGGACGTAACGTAACCGTGCCTAGTCGTTTCCTCTCGATTTTCATGTGGCGTTTGAGTCGGAGAGTTTCTGAACTCTTGTAGATGCAGGCTGGTTGCGCGCGAAGCGTCTCGGACTAGGAGCAGTGCAGGAGAAACTGATTTAGGAGCAGTTTAATCAGCTGCCTCACAGGGCTGCAGCTAACGGATACGTCTACAATCCATTTATCTGTCGACAGGCGTCCGATTAATCGACTAATCGAGTCATGCCTTCTGCCGTTTTCTCCCACTGCGCCCTGTCGCTGCGCCGCCTTGATTCAAAGTTCCGTCTGTGTCCGTCTATGCGGGTGTGATAAGGCTGCAGGCAGCGCTCGCAAGCCCCGCCAGAGTTTCCAGTGAGGAGAACTACCTTCTGATTACTGGTCAGACGCTAGAGGGCGCTCCCAGGAGAGTCTGAATTGAATCGGTTCATATGAGCGTTTGAGCAGTGTCGTAATCTGTAAATGTGTTTATACAGAGAAATGCACTCGTTTTCTCAACACATCAGCATAAATATTTTAACACGACTGTTATATTTTCCAACGCTTTCAACTCTAGTTATAAGGGTTTTATAAAGTGCCATAAGTAAAGTCATGACATAACTGAGCGCAAATTACTTTCCTCAGCTGATGGGCTGATGAGCTCACCAGCCAGTCAGCGCTCAGCAGCAGTAATGCTGACATCCGACTGCACAAAGCCTGTAGAAAAATGGAAAAATACTGGTAAGTTTTTATTGATTTTTTTTTTTTAAAGTATAATACATTCCTCTCTCTGCCAAAATTAAAGAAAATTTGTAGGTATTTAGCTCCACCTCCTCCCCATTCAATGAGGATAAAGTCCTTATAGCAAAGTCTGTTCACTTGGCAGCCATTTTTGTAACGCTGCCAGGCAGTTATTTCCAGTTATTACAAGATCAGGCTCCTATTTCTTTGAATGAGCAGACCAAAATACTCAAAACTGAAGGTCAGATTACCGTTTTAATAACACAATTTAAATTGCTGGTAAAATCTGACGAACATCTCATAAATGAATAGCGTTTGGCTCAATAACGCACAAATAAGGTGATTTTTTGGGTTGTTCAGACTATTGCACTGCACAGATCTCGACAAGAAGTGGGGGCTTGATTTTTTTCTGTCTGTTTTCGATTTAAACTTGAACCGGCTCTGGCCTCACTTTCACATAACTGTGCCTCTCACATTCTCATTGACACAAAAGAGATGTGCAAAAGAGAGACCACAGATATTGAAAGATCGGGAATGATTACAACAATATCTATGCCTCACATTGTTTCTGAACTACGGCTGTTCGATTCTGTTAAATTTTGGAGTCGACTCCTATTCTCATTCCAAATGATGGGAATTTATGGGGTCCAGGAGTCAATTCCACACAGTATTCTCAAAGCTCAATTCCAAAAACACTCCAAATTTGCTAGCTAGATAGCTAACAGATTCACGACATTAGGTTCATCTAGGTAGCTGGCTTGGTTACTTGGTGTAGGACTATTTTGAAACAACCTTTGAAGCTCAACTGTCATAGGTAGCTAGCTAGCAAGGCAATTCGCAGAGCCAACACTTTAAAAACTCCTCTTTAAAAGCACTGATCAGAATAGGTAGTATTCGCAAAACTTGGAAGAAGCATTCAACGGCCAAATTATTGACATTCACTCAGCATAACGCGAAAGAGCCGTCAATGACTGCCGAATCAAGATGTCAAGAAAAGAAGTCTCATCAGTTTGATCAGATGTGTTGATCCATTCAAACGCGATACATTATCTTTGAATCCTGATTATGCTTTATTGCCTCCACTAACCTGTCCAGATATCTATAATACTGCATCAACCTATTCATCGCAGGACACAAATCACTAAAATCGTTTATTTAATCTATGGAACGGTCAATGATATTCTGTCTTTACCATCAACTACACTGTCAAACGTTATCCTGATCGCAAAAGCGGGTAGTTTGTTGCTGTTGCTAGTAACGGTGTGCAAAACGGTGAATCTACGAGTGTTGCTGTCATGCCACATTGATTGGTGGTATGTCAACAATATGGCGGCGATGACGAGTGTAACGTAAGTCAAATACTATCTATTGGCCTATTAGGATAGTTCTGTGGGTCTGTTTGATTGCAAAATAGATCAAAAAAGTCACGAACAGTAAATAATAATTAGGTAATTATTCAACATTAAATTACATTTGGGTGACGTTGTTTCTGTTTGTGCTTGTGTTTTTGTGGCTAACAGCTAGCTGGCTAACTAGCTTTAGCATTGAGCTAAGGCCGAATCTAAGATGGCTCCGTACTGTATGTAGTGCACAGTGTGAGTTATGAAAGTACCTGCATTAAAGGTATGGAATTGTGCGTGTGGCTGAATCCAAAATACTTACATGTTAGCGTCAATGTTAGTCAGCTAGCGAACTGTTAGGCAGGAAAGTTTTATTTTAAGAATGAATTTATTGAGTGTTATTATCTTGCAGAGAACCAGGAAAGTGATTTTCACATCTCTGCATGCAGTTCACTACTGTGTAAATAATTCTATCATTTATTTCAGTGCTTTTTTTTAAAATAATTCTGAATCATACCAAAATTGTCACATACAGTATGAGCAGGTCATAGTAAAATTTGAAATTTCATGATGCATTGAGTCATATGCGAAAGAATCATAATTGACTCTGATCATTGTGAAGTTGTCAATTATACAGTGTGATTCAAAAAGATTCATCCGATTTTTAAAATGATTTATTTCACTTGTAAATCATTACAGATCAATGCAGTAAACTGTAAATGGTTCAAATGAGCGTAAAGTTTATTATGTAATTTTACAAGGGCTCAATATGAACCTCCTCCAGCTGTACAGACAACATCAACACCATAGTCAGATTCATCCCACACTCGATTGAGCATGTCGGGTGTCGCTGCACTCACGGCTCTTTCAATGCAATTTCGGAGATCATCCAGTGTTGTGGAACCAGCGACGAACGCTCTGAGCTGTTGGAGCTTCACTGCCGACAAAAATCACGTTGCATAGTCATGACGGATTCATTGAATTGGAGAACGCAGGACGCTTTCTGCTCAGTGGTCGCCGTCTCCTCTCAGACTGAAGGCCATCTTCCGGTGGCAGTCAGAAACTCTATGACCCCCTCTTTCAGTTGGTATGTGATTGGTTCCTCACGGTTGTAAAAATATGGTGCTTTGAAATCGGACGAATCTTTTTGAATCATGCTGTAGGTATGAAGGGCCCAGTTTGCTTTACTTTGGGCATCGTTTTTTTCAGGCCTTAAGCATCAGTTTTCAGGCTGTACAACGTATGTTCTGTTATAATTGAATCGAGTTAAATCGTAGTTTTAAAATTTGAGATTTCTTGACGCACAGAATTGTTATTGAATTGAGTTTAGGTTACCATGGACTGAAGAATATATGGTTCCTATCACTAATCCGAATCAAGGTGGGTTCTCATGATGCATTGAATCATTGTGTGGAGAACTGTAATTGAATCAGCTCATTGTGGGGCAGAAATTTACACCCCTATTACCACATGGATTATCTGTATGAAGGGCCTGGTCTGGGTTAGTTGAGTGAGAATCTGCTGATGAGCTTAATCCCTGAGAGAGTGGAGCTGAGACAGATGCAGTGATACCCAGGGAGGCATCGTTAGCCTAATCATGCGAGCTCACACCGGCAGCCTCGTTAATTACCTCTGCCCACTGAACGCAGGGAGCCACGTATGAGGTGTGTGTATGTGTGTGTTTGTGTGTGAGGTTGGTGTGGATGGCCACGTGCAGTCCTTAGCGGAGATGTGTGATGCTGTGTCACCTTTGACCCCGCAGGTGCCTCAGGATGAGTGGGGGGGCTTCCCTTTGGGTAAGGATGAGGACATCCCGTGCCGGCGCATGCGCAGCGGGAGCTACGTCAAGGCCATGGCGGAAGACGACAGCGGCGACTCGGACGGAAGTCCCAAACCCTCGCCCAAGATGCAGGCGCGACGGGCCAGCTACCTCAAAGCCACCCAGCCGTCCCTGACCGAGATGACCACCCTGAAGTAAGTGCGCTTCACTTCTTGAGACTGAATGTTCTTGTATTGAACATGAGCAGCTTGATATTTCAGAATCAGTTTAATGTGCATAGTATTGTTCTTAAAAATGAAGGTTTCTGAACAGTTCTTGGCTTGAATGTGTGGTTCTATTAAAGATATTTTTCATTTGTATAGTTTTTAAAAAGGTTCTTTACACTTGCGCATCTCATTTAAGGAACCATTCTCTGAAAGGTTCTTTTAGAAATAAAAAGAGGGTCTTTTATGGCCTCATTTCACCTCTCACAAAGGGAAGGAGAAACTTCACCCACTAGTGCACTGGGGCATCAAAGCAAAAGTCATGGAAGATAATGGATTATTTTTGTTTTGTTTTAAATGATGGTATTATGAATCATGCTTGATATGACCGAAGATGTAAAAAAGGTCAGTTTTGACTGGAATTTGTCTTGGTACTTTGTAACATATTAAACCAGACATGTATGCAAGAGTTACGAATATTAAAGAATAATTATGACATATTTGCAAATAATGTCTTTACAAAGTGAAACATTTATGCAACTAGTTGCATGTAGTGAGTTGCCTGCAACATAATTTCTGTGCAACATGACAGTTACACAAAGCAATTGAAAAGCAATGTTGCATGCAAGACATTGTTGTTCCACTAGATAGCTAATCTAGCTGTTCGCATTTTGGATAGATCATATTTTTTTCTATATCTGTATATCAGTAATGTATCTATCTATCAAAAGCCTTTTAATGTTTTTAAGTTTTTCTGTTGTGTTCATATTAGGCTTTTGAAAAATGAAAATTTATTTACAGTTATAACCAACTTGATGTCTCACTCATGAAATTATTTTCATTATTTGAATCCCAAATGAATCTGCACTTCTAATCTGCAAAACTATTAACCTTGAATCAATCAGGGTGACAGGTGGGATCTCTTTTTCAACCACCTGTTTTGGTTTGAAAGTATGTTGTTTGATCTGATCACATGATGTGTTATCAGTGTTTTGATTGGCTGTTTAATGAGAGTGTCAAGTGAGTTGCGGGATGCTTTCCATAATACAACTCAAGTGCATTTTAATTTAGTATAGTATATTTAATACTGTTTTTCACTAAATATAATTGAAAATAGATAGAAAATCACACCACTTATTTTAGAGAAGTCCCTTATAAGTAAAACCTAACCAGTTAGGATAATCATTTAGGTACATTAATTGATTAATAACTTAACCTTACTAACTTTGCACTGAATAAATGAACCAAAAACAGACTTGAGTTTGTTTTTTACTTGAATATGGCTGCTATTCTATGTCAGAAGAACACAAATAACTATTTTTTAATTCTTTCTCAATAAAAAAATGTTTTTGTTTTTTTTTTATGTTTTTTTTTCTGTTCAAAACATTTAGAGAAAATAATATGCACAATGATATCAGAATCATATCAGTATGGGCACTGCTTAAAATAAATGATCAGCATCAGGTAGGTGTTTAGATTTAACCAATATTTCAAACTGATATTTTGTGATGTATTTATTGCCCTTGTTTATGCTGGGCTACTGTAATAAATCAACTGTATTAAATTCATTTTACTGCATTTATAACCCTACAGAAATAAGTTGTATTCCTCTCTAATGCTAATGCAGGTACATCTAGATTTCCAAAATGCTTTGCCATCATCATCGGCTGATATGTACATTAAAACATGTCAAATGTCTACATTGGCCTATATTACATATATCGGTGCATCCCTAATAATAATAGTATTGACCGATGAGCCACATTTTAATTTTACTAGTTTTCACTTGACCTGTTTTTGATTACACACTTCATTTTTGGTTCTGGTTTTGCTCCCTGGACTGCTAATCACTGCTCTGTGTCATGTAAAGCATACAGAGGCCGTGTATCCTTTTATATACTCTAAGCCAAGAGGTTCTCAGCTCCTGGAGACCCACTGCCCTACATGGTCTATTCTTTGCCACAGCGCACCTGATCCAACTCAAGAAGGGCTTGATAATTAGCTGATGAGCTGGATCAGGTATGGATTTTCCTGTGCTGTGTACAGGATAGCATGCCACTAATTGGATTCTTGCCTCTTTGAAGCAGCATAAAAACCCAAGCTGTGTTTTATTCTGGCAATTGCCCTAAAACATTTTTTCCAGGGTGCAGAATAAATGGTTTGTTAATCGTTATTGCAATTGGCCTCTGCAATATTGATATCACAGTAGGCCGCAAATGAGCAAATTAGCAATTTAAGAAATCACTTTTTTTTTTTTTTTGCAAATTCATACATTCACATGATCTAATATGTGAAATAGAAAATGCATTACTGGAAAGCTAAACACTGCTCATGCTAACCAGTGCTTAAAGAGAAAGAAATTTGAGAGGGATTATGCAAATGAATCAGGCTGAAGTTGCCATTCAGTACTAGAAATGTTAGCAATTTTGAGTGAAGTATTCCTTTAAGCCAAGTGGAGAGCAAATGTATGCAAATATAAGGTTCTTACCTGCAAACTAATCCATGTTAAGACAAGTCAGAGTTACTGGTATTTGTCAGTGTTGTATGGTTGGCTGCCATATATTACCTGTTGCAGTGTTTATTGTCTTTTTGCCCTCATATACACATTTTTGTGTGACTTGCTTTAGGTGACTCCTTACTCTATGAAAGTCAGCCATACAAAGCTTTGGTTTAGCCTTTTGATTTTGCTGCTGTGAAATGTAAATGAATAATTAGCTTGATGCTACATTGCTAATAATTCATGAAGCTTGGAATGTGTCAATATTATGCAAATAAGATTAACTGGCCTCCACAAGATTTCATTCATTGCTATTGGGAGGGCAGGGGGATAGTAATCCTTTAAGACAGTGCGCTTCACTTTCTGACCCTGCTTTGCCCTGGGCCTTGGCGTCCTGTTTATATAGGTCACACAGGTTTATCTTTCTGCCGAGTAATTAGCCTAGTAGCTAATGCAGTCCCACGCTATGCTAATCACCCAACTGCAGCTGCATCAGTGAAAGAAAAAATGATATTTCTTGATCATGTATTTGTTTATTTTTTGTTTCTGAGTAATGTGCAGTGTAATGATCTCCCATAGACGTTCACAAGATATATATGTTTGCTGAATTGTTTTTAGAACTACTACTTCAATGCTAATGCAGCAACACAGCGTTCTCTAGAATTTGTGCTGTTATTTCCATCTCATGGTAAGACCTGGTAAAGAACTGTAGTAATATTTCCCGTTATAACATTCTGTAAGTCATTATTATCCACTTTCCTCCCTCTCAGGCAGAGAAACATACAGAAGTGAGGCGAATAGCTATGGCTAGAATACTAGCTTGCAAGCTAATGAGTAAATAGCATGTTTAAGCTAAGAATCGTCGCTCAACACACTGAAATACTGATTCGTATTTCTTACAACAGCCAAAGTCGTGATGTTGAACCTTTTTTTTAATGTTTCTGGTTATGCTAGGCCTGAAACTTGGTGCAGGTCAATGCCATAAGCCTATGAGAGGTAATGTAATAGTAGAATATTAGTTTAGGGAGTAGATGTAACTTCAGTGTAGCACACAAGTGTCTGTTTACTGACATAACAGGATTGGCAGTTCGGGTTCTCCAATGATGTTACATTAGTGCTAGCTGGAAAACACAGTGGCTGTCTTCATGTGAATCAGAGGATGCACGCCTCACTCTGACTTGACTCACGTGATGGTTGTTGTCATGGTAACGTGTACACTAAGTGGTACTCTACGCACGGCGTAATTTCGGATCAGAGTACTTGTACTGAGCATGTAAACAGACATTTTCCATCGGATTGTTGAGTAAAGTGAGCATAAACACCTCAGTCTTAATCTGTAATCCGAATGTATTCAATCGGATGGTCCACTATAGTCCTCTATAGATTATCTACAGATGCTCAAATTGTTAACAAACTATCTGTTGAAACTCTTGATTCTAAACAGTGGTGGGGTTAGGATTTGGACCAGGTTAGGGCTAGGACCAGGGTGAGGATTGGGTGTAGATTTTGGGTTGAGATTAAGGTTAGGGTTAGGATTAGATCATATTTAGAGTTAAAGAAAATGAAGGTCAATTTAGTAGCTATTTGGTTGAATATATCTTGAAAGTAAATAAGGTATCTACAAAGCATCTAAAGTGGACTATCCAAATAATGTGTTAACCAATCAGATTGGCAAAAAGCTTTGCATGTAAACATAGCCATTTGGTTACACCAGTGCTTTCCTACACAGCCCTGTATCATTTTGAGCCAAGTTTTTTTTCTAGCAACTCCTACAGATATTAAAGTATCAAAATTAGTCAGAATCCATAGTAGCATCGTGTGATGGGGAGACCTAGACCAGACCTCACAGCGACTGAACTGAGGAGAAAATGAGGTAAAATATATATTGTGAGGACAAAAATGTTGTTTTAACTAGCAGGTATTATAGAATCCATACTGCATTTGAAAACCTCTAATCTGTATATAAATGTTCTTTTTCTAGTTTATTTAAAATCTGGAGAAAACGTACGCAGAACTGTGGGAAATACTGCGTTTCTCCTGTGACGCTACTATGATATGACGACCGTTAGACTGTTTCTGTCGAATACAGAGGCTTTAGGCGTGCCTCCCTCAGCCTGTATATCAGTTCCACAGAGTCTCCACAGAAACGCAGCCAGCCAGGAGCGCATACACTCTTTTAATTAAGAGAGCGCAGCAAGTTCTGTATGAGTAATTACTCTTAATTAGCCATTTTTCTCCATGGGACTCCTTCGAAAGTGCTGTATTGACATCATAAAATACATTTTCCATGTTTGACTCTGGGGTTGCAGGTAAAGAGCTTTCTGAATTCTCCCTAGTATCGATGGATGTAAAATTGATTTTTTTATGACTCGCTGCAGTTATATTTAGGACCGGTAATGTGTGAACCGTACGAACAGATCCCGTTTTAATGAGTGCACTGCACTGAAACACACGCTGTTATGGGGGTGGTGTCCAGACCTGTGGCTTAGTCAATTTGGGGTTGCCATGGTGACAGACATGCGCAGTAGGCAGTCCTTTGAGACCGGTTTGCTTGGGCTAAGGTCAGTAAATCACATATATAACTTGTTTTCATTAAAAAAAAAAAGAACTCCTCAGTGTTGCAGCATAGGTCAGTTAAACTGTTGTTCCCTGTTATATGGAATTAGTCACCAAGTCTGCAGGTATTTTCTCTTTGTTTACACAGCATTAAATCATACATTGCCATTTATGTGCTGCAAATAGAAACACCTCACTGCTCAAGCTTGACAGATGTATCAGATAACAGTCTTCAGCCCTTTAGGAATTCACAGTTTGGGCCTGGATATTTGCAGATGTGCCGATTTTCAGTACTATTTTAGTATTATGGACCCAAACAAATGATTATTTATTTACTTATTTAATTCATTTTAGTTTAACCCCTTGAAATTCCAAGTTTATTACATACTAAGGCTTATTATTCAGTAACATGGACTACAATGCAAACTGGTTCAGTTATTCTTAGGTTTTAGAAGTGTGTAACAAAACTTTATTTACTTACTTACTCATTTAATTACTTACTTACATTTGTATGAAGGACATTGAACAACCACTGTTCAAAAGACGTTTTGTTGATTTTCAGAGTAAAAAAAAACACATTCTCTACAAATGTAAACTTAAAAATAGTAGCTGTCTGCAAATTGTCGTGCATTAATTTCCATTTATTTGCTGAGTTATTTCATTATGTCGAGTTTAACGTAATGAAATGAAACCTAATAAAATAATTACATTTATAATTTTTTAGTTCGATGATTTATATATTTGTAAATACATTATAAAATAAATAATATAAACAAAAATATTTGAAAAACATTTATTAAATGTACATAATAAAATATAAAATGAGCCTTTACTTTTGCACAGGCCAGATTTTATGTTCATTTTATTTCCCCAAATTCAACAAATAAACAGTGATTTTGCACTTTGTAGAGGATGTGTTTATTTACTTTCGGTTAGAAAATCAACAAAACATATCATTTGACCAGGGGCATCTAAACTCTTGTGCACATCACTTTTTCTTTGCACAACTAAATGAAACAAAATTCACTGAACATGATGTTGTAAATATACTAGAATAAACACTAGAATAAACGATGCAGTAATCTGGACCAATCACAGTCAGGAGGCGGTCTCAGGACACAGGATGCAGTAATGAGGACCAATCACAGTCAGGAGGAGGCCTCAGAACAAAGGATGCAGTGATTAGAACAAATCACAGTCAGGGGGAGGTTTTAAAACAAAAGATGCAGTGATTTGGACCAATCACTGTCAGGAGGAGGTCTCAGAATGAGTAATACATTGATTTGGACCAATCACAGTTAGAGGGAGGTCTCAGAATGAGTAATGCAGTGATTTGGACCAGTCACAGTGGTGATTTTATTGTTATATATGTATTTATAAATTAAATTAACATATGAAATGTGAAATGTGTTTATGCTGCTATATGCAGATAAATGTTTTCTAAGTTGTGAGTGTCTTGATTGAACTCAGATGTTGCTGATGAGTTTCTGTGGGTGTTGATTTAATTCTATGTTAAAATGTATATCACATTCACAGTATGTGGCAGCCTAATAACAGTTTTGGATTGGATTCGGTCCATATTATGCAGCTTGTGTCTTCATTATTGTAATTTTATGAAGACGTAGAACAAGCTATATGTTCTAGTATTTTAGTAATGGGATCAGAAATCAGATATGATGTGTTAATTTGATGATGAAGCACTCTTTGCTAAATTATAAGAAATTTTGTCCTCGTAGCAGGAAGTGTGTGACACATCATGTGTCATTAAGAGCGGCTGACGTAGGTAACGGGCAAAGAGCAGCCAATCCAGCAAGACGGGCACAGCAGGAGCCGGCCAATCAGGTGAAAGAGCCGTAGCAAAAAGAGACACGAAATCATCCTCTTATTCCACACCGATGACAGCGTGCATAATCAAAACCCACGGAGTCTCAAAGCCCCCCTCTACCCGCTTCTGTCCTGGGGCTCTTTTCTCCAAGTTTTACCCAAATCGCTCTCCAGGAAGGTGGGGGGGTGGGGTGTGTGTGTGTGTGTCTGTGTTTAGCTATTTGTGGGGACCAAATATCCCTATGATGGTAGGAAAACACTAAAGTAGCTTTGGGGACACTGGGCTGCTCCTTATAAAGAAAACGCTTTTTTTAAATTGCATTTTATTTTATTCTGTAAATAGTATATTAAAAAATATGTATTATAATAAATACTTTCGTCCAATGACAGCTGGGATAGGCTCCAACACCTCACTGCGACCCAGAAGGATAAGCGATTTAGACGATGATGATGATAAATACTTTCTGAATAACCAGTATTTAAGGACCATTTTGACTAGAAATTAAATTTCTATTTTTTTAGGCTTAAAATAAGGTTTAGATGTAGGCTACAGTTATAAAATGGAAAATGGCAAGACTCTCTCTCCCTCTTTTTCTCTCTCTCTCTCTCTCTCTATCTCTTTCTCCCCCTCTACCCCCATCTTTTCCTGGCCTGCTGCTGATACTGCAGCTGGATGCAAGGTGTCTGCCCGTCAGCAATGTTTTCGTGTTGAGCTGTGTGGGTGGCCTTAAGTGAGTTTTGCTGTTTCTTCTCATCCATGGTTGCTGTCTCCTTCCATATCTTGCCAGAGTCTCTCTCTCTCTCTCTCTCTCTCTCTCTCTCTCTCTCTCTCACTCTATTTAAAGGCCCCTATACGTAATGCAGACGTGGAGTGTTTTGCGTTTGCTGTGTGAATGTGTTTGCGGCCCCCGCACAAACTGATGAAGTGACTTTGACACGGCGGAGCACACTGAGCGTGTGCGGTCAAAAAGCAAAGTACACTCCTCCGTCGCCTTCCGGCATATTTTTGCCCCTTCCGCCTGGGGGCTTCACAACTTCTGATGTCAAGGAATGTATGTCATAGAAGGAGTCAAAGTATGGTTTAAATACAACTCGCTGATGAAGTGCGCTCCACCCCAGAACATCCCAGCTGGAGCGATTGCTCTGGGCGAGAAACCCCAGCTTTGTAAATATATCGCGCATCCGCTGGTTGCATCAGTATGTCGGTGCATCATGAAACACACTATGCAGTGCATCAGTGCATATTGTTATGTGACTGCCAGGATGCCCAAAGGGTTTGCGATGATTTATCATTCGGTGATGTTCATCTCATCTCCTACCTGATGATGGAAAACTATACATATACAAACTATACATATTAAATGTATAGTTTGGCAAAGAATCAGATTTATCTGATTGTCCATTTACTGCAGGTATAGTTCATCAGTCAAAACATGCTTGGAGTCCCAATTTTGTTTCTTTAGTTTAGAACTAGAGATACGATGCTGACATTGCTAACAAACAATAGAACTCAATAGTCACCCAAATGGCTTCTGTAAAAATAGATTAACCTGCTCAGACTTGTGACTGTGGTTTAATTCAAAGTATGACTTACTACAGACTATCAAAATGAACAAAACTTACCTGGGCAGCCATTTCAGATTACACCAGGGCTGGTATTCACAAAGCAGGACTGATTTTGGATTCCTCCTTTAGAAGAGTCACTTCACAAACACTGAATCTGGATCACTTCTGTGTTGTATATGAAGACCCTATTGTCAGAAATGGCTGTCTGTGGGTTTGTTCATTTTTATAGTTTAGTAGTATAGTAGTGCTCTAAACCATGCCGACAAGTCTGTGTGCCCTTAGTGAAGACCTGGATGCAGTTTGAGTGGGTTAAAAGACGCTGTGGTGAAGTATTTTTACAGAAGCAATTTAGGTGACTATTGAGTTCTAGTGTTTGTTAGCAGTTTAAGCCTTGCCGCTAGAGTTCTAAATGAAATAAGCCTATACTCCACCAATTAACAATGTGCAAACTGCATGCTAACGTTAGATTTTGTGGTTTCTGACTCTGTACGCCATACTGTTAGCTGGAAAAAAAACAACAAAAAAAAAAAAAACGGACATTTCATCACACATCTGAAAGCATTAGTTCAAGCTAACATGAAGCCTGAATTCTTCTACCAGTAGGTCATGAAGCTAACTGGTCCTGTATAAACTTCCATGACTTATTAGCTACATCAGCCCTGTAGCTCTAGTGCAAAACTTAAGTATTTTAACTTTCTGTCAAGTTTTTATGTAGCATTTATGTAGATATTGGGCTGCTAAAGGACCATCAGATTCAGGGCTGTCTTCTTTTGAGTATTTGTTACTTGTACTGTTGTAACAAAACCTTGCAACTCCATTTTATAATTATTATATTTTTTTTTTTATATACCTTTTTACATTTGAAGATGCTGTCTGCCCTTTACATTGTATAACAATCTCATGACCAGTGGACCAACAGAAATGGTCCAAAATTACTTGGAATAAAACCTTGATACATTAACTTAAGTTACGAATGTTTTTTTCCCTATAAAGATAGCAAGTTTTGACAAGCATCTCTCTCTCGCTCTCTCTCTCTCTCTCTCTCTTTCTCTGTCTGCAGCATTTCCACCGAGCACTCTCCGAAGCTGCAGATCCGGAGCCACTCTTACCTGCGGGCGGTGAGTGAAGTTTCCATCAATCGCAGCCTGGAGAGCCTGGACCCCAAAGCCCTTCTCGCCTCGCCCCAATACCGCTCACGCAATGAGAGCTACATGAGGGCTATGAGCACCATCAGCCAGGTTTGTGCCCCCGTCTGGGCGCAGGAGGGAGCAAGGTCAAAAACTAGTTCAGACTGGTCCATTTTGGTCCACAAGAACCAATCTGGACTGGTCCAGTCAAAACCATATAACCAGCTGCGATTCATCCACCGGCGCGATGAATTTGAGCCATCACCATAGTCAGTGTTCATTCATGTTATTAAATAGATATACGTGTGTAACTAACAAAATTGACGCATATTCTCCATTCTGTCATTTCAACCAGATGTTTATGTGATGGAGGGATAGCTGTCATTAGACTGTTGCTTGTCTGAAATTGACTTTGTTGAGGAAGATATTTGTCAGTCACTGTGCAATAGGAACCTGTAACAGAAGTCAATGGCATGTAGCTTTGATGTTACTTTAAAAGAATATACTAGTATTTTTTAGCCTGTTGTCTGTCCGGCACGTCTGTAGCATGCGGTCAAATACCAGAGATGTGGACTTGAATCAGCGATGTTTACACACTTGTGACTCAAATTCGAGACTTAAGACTAATGAAATTTTACAGCAGGGGAAAATATTTATGAAATAGGAATCTAAATCAATATTTAAATTTTTTGTTTTCTAATATTATACATGCATCGTCTCCATCAGTTTTGCTGAGGCCATACATGGTTGTTACTGCAATGCTGTCTAAAAGGTTCTAATAGGTTCCATATAGATTTTCTTTGTAGTTGGCAACCAAATCATATCAAATCACGTTTATTGTCACATCACATTTACACAGGTACGAAGGTGAGTAAATATATATATATATATATATATATATATATATATATATATATATATATGTATATTCCAGATTATACAAGACATGGATAGAAGATCGAGATGTGTACAAAATCTAAATGTGCAGGTAAAGATTTGCTAGATTGATTGTTACAGATCACATTCCTTTACAACTTAGTAAAACTTCGAAACTTAGCTACCTAAGCATTCTTAATGTACAAACTACAGATTAACCAACCGTTTCATGTTGTTTTTGCCTCTTTTTCATGCACTTTATCCTTCAGACTGCAAGTTTTTTCTAAAATCAAAGGCTCATTATTGGAACCTAACAGGTTTTTAGTAGGAGGTCTTAGTAAAACTAGAGAAAACCTATTGACTGAAAGAAGTTTTAGTAGAATACTTGGCCCCTACCCTTCTATTAAAAGGGTGTTTTGAGTCAACAATTTTTCTAAATGGACATTTATTTCTAAGGAGATTATTATTTTCCACTGTAACTGACCACATGACCACAAATTGTGAGGTCAGTACATTGGAGGAGAAGGACTGGCTCACCATCAACATTTGAGGTCAGGGCTCTGTGCAGGCCACTTGGGCCTTCTCCAAACTGTTGTCACAAAGTTAGACGTATATAATTGTCCAAAATGTCTTTATATGCTGTAGCATTAACATTACACTTCACTGGAAATGAGGGACCTAGCCTGACAGCCCCAGCCCATTATCCCTCCTCTACCAAACTTTACTGTTGGCACTATGCATTCCGGTAGGTAGAGTTCTCTTGGCATCTGCCAAACCCAGATCAACCACCTGTCAGACTCCAGAGAGCATGTTCCTGCTGTTTCAGTGTCCAGTGGCATCATGATTGGCAGAGCTCTCATGGCTTGTAGCTGTAACTGACCACATGCTACAGAGGCAGCAGATTAGGCTGAAAAACAGGAGGAGTGCTCCTTTAAATGACACAGATTTAGTAATATAACAAAATACATTTTTAACATAACTTTAGAACTGACAGCTTTGCTCAGCCATTCTATTTCCTCAGCCTGGCTGTTTGGACTGTAGAGGGATTCACCTTGGACCTTCCAGAAAAGAGCATATAGAAAAGTCTGGTATAGTCCCTCGAGCTCTCCTGTGTGATTGGGGAACAGTTTTGAGCTTTGTTATTGAAGGCCCTGCACAAACCCACATTAGCCCACCCCCTATACTAAAAAAACACAGTGCACTGAGTTAACTTGATTCAAATGTGTACATTAATTGCACAATTATGAAATTAGTATAATCAAACCCAAGTAAACTGATAGACAGAGTTGTGTTGATTTAATATATTTTATTCATGTGCAGACAATGTATGCATTTAAATTAAGTCAATTCAGTGGACTGTCTTTTTTTTTCAGTGTGTTTTTCCGCACTTTCCTACTATCCCTCCACTTGTTCCATCCTCAGGTCACCACTGCTGTCCTTCTCCCTCTCGCTGTTTGCTACACTATGGCTTCATTCCAATATAGAGGAAAACTAATATCTACCCACTTTACCTACACCTTTCATTTTTAAGATGTGGGCAGAAGGCAACTTCTGTTCTGAACATAATAGAACATATTAATATTGTCATTATTTTTGGTAACACTTTAATGTAGCCCACTGGACGTAAGAATCAATGGTACCTACATAAGCTTGACATGACGTCTGACATACACCTACATAAACAGGCTTATTCCAATAGGTGTCAACTGTCATAAAGACTGCTACTTTGAAGTCAGGTTAACATAACATTTTTTCAGACATTGAGTTGTGTCATGACACTTTTCGAGTAAACTGCCGTAGCACATTATAACAGCTGACTTTGTACCTTGCGGTGTATCACAGTAACATAATGCTGATGATGTAACATGCACTATGTGGCCAAAAGTATATGGACACCCTACCATCCAATCTATATGAACTTCTTAAACATCCCATTCCAACAACCATGGACATTAATGTGGAGTTGCCCCCACCTTGCAGCTGTAACAGCCACACTCTTGGGTGTGTATGTGTGTGTCTATGGGATGTTGTGCCCATTCTGTCAAAAAAGAAATTGTGAGGTCAGTACTGACATTGGAGGAGAAGGACTGGCTCGCCACCAACATTCCAGTTCATCCCAAAGGTGATCAGTGTGGTTGAGGTCAGGGCTCTGTGCAGGCCACTTGGGCCCTCTCCAAACTGTTGTCACAAAGTTAGACGTATATAATTGTCTAAAATGTCTTTATATGCTGTAGCATTAACATTACACTTCACTGGAAATAAGGGGCCTAGCCTGACAGCCCCAGCCCATTATCCCTCCTCTACCAAACTTTACTGTTGGCACTATGCATTCCGGTAGGTAGAGTTCTCTTGGCATCTGCCAAACCCAGATCAACCACCTGTCAGACTCCAGAGAGCATGTTCCTGCTGTTTCAATGTCCAGTGGCATCATGATTGGCAGAGCTCCCATGGCTTGTGTGCAGTAGCTCAGCCATGGAAACCCATTTCCTGAAGCTCCTAACAAACAGTACTTGTGCTGATGTTGCACATACTTTGGGCTGCATAGTGTAGCCTAAGTTTTGTAAATGGTAAAACAAAATTCACTTTACCGAAAGGCCACAGAAAATGCTTACTTTTTTTCAGCCAGCCTGCAAGCTATGTTATATTATTAACACAATGCCCTTGTCACACACTGACCTACAAAGTCTGTTATTTCACCCAAAAAGTGGCATAACACAACATAATGTCAGAAAAAATCAGCCACTTCACATAGATGTTATGTCAACTTGACATCAACGTTGGCAAATGGAACCTTTATGACAGATGGCACACATTTTCTCTTCTCTGGCGAAACGCTGGATGAATACGTGTCTAAGCTTTTGAACGTAGTGCAGTCGGGAGAAATGAGTTTGAATTAGAATGGAGCCTGTTAGTGTTTTTCAGTTCATAATGGAATAACCACCAGTGTCTTGCCATTCTGTGTTTTGTGTCAGTGGAATTTGGTCTTCTTGTTTGTGTTGTATTGACCCACATGAGCCCACATATTAAGTGCAGTTCCGTATGAAGGACCCCACTCTCCCTCTCTTTGACTCTCTATTCTTTTGTAGATCTCCCCTACTCCTCATGACCCCCACCCACTCTCTCTCTCTCTCTCTCTCTCTCTCTCTCTCTCTCTCTCTATTTCTGACCAAGGCTTGCTGGCAGATTAGTGATTTAATGTCCTTTCTGTGTCCCAAACTTTGTCCCCCCCACACTCCTATTTATTCCTCTTTCTCATTGTTGTTCTTCTCTTCTCTTCTCTTCTCTTCTCTTCTCTTCTCTTCTCCCCTCTTCTCTTCTCTTCTCTTCTCTTCTCTTCTCTTCTCTTTTTCTTTTCTTTTCTTTTTTGTTTTCTTTTCTTTCTCCTTGTTTTCTTCACTTGTTTCCTCTCTTCTCCTCTCCTCTCCTTTTTTCCTCACTTGTTCTCTCCTCTCTTCTCATCTCCTCTACTGTTCTCTCCTCACTTCTCCTCTTCTCTCCTCTCTTCTTCTCTCATCTCTTCTCTTCGTCTCTCTTCTCCTCTCCTTTATTCTCTTCTCCTCTCCTCTCCTCATCTGTTCCTCCTCACCTGTTCTCTCATCTCCTCTCACCTGTTCACTATTCTCTTCTCCTTTCTCTCTCCTCTCCTCTCCTCTCCTCCCTTCCTGAAGGTGAGTGAAGTAGAAGTGAATGGTCAGATCGAGGCAGTATGTGAGAGTGTATTCAGTGAGATGGAGTCACAGGCGGTGGATGCTCTGGACCTGCCGGTGCCCGGATGCTTCCGGATGCGAAGCCACAGCTACGTCCGCGCCATAGACCAAGGCTGCTCCCAGGATGATGACGGACCACTACTGCCCGCATCACCACCACGGACCACCACAACAGTCAGGACCATACAGAGCAGCACAGGTTAGCCTGGAAATTACAAAAGCCAACATCTGATACATACATTAACATGATGAAAGTCAGTGTAAATCAGCAAAACAGTTTGGTGAAAAATCCAATTTATACAGTTTCCCCTTCAAAGGTACTTGATCGGCCAAGACGTGTCTGGTGTCGGACGTTTGTCTCTTTAGTTTTAGCACTGGAGTTATTTAATGGAACTAGCAAGCAATGGCAGCTTATGCCCCACCAACCAGCACTGTGCACACTGCAGGCCTCAATCACTGTAACATAATCTATTAAAACGTAATGTTACATAAAACGTAATGCTATTAAAAAAGTTGTTAAAAGTTATGTAATCTCAGTAGACTTGAAAGTGTGGTCTCTAACACTTTAAAAGATGCCGTTATTTATAAAATATATGAATATTTTGTCACTGTCACACAAAAACTTACTCTTTCTTAACTTTCATTACACTTTGCATTGTGTTAGAATTTCATGATGAACAAAACAACAGAATTATTTCACGATTTTAAGAAATATTTTTCCTTCATCTGTAAAGTTACAGTTTCGGACATGCAAGGTTTTGTTCCCGGAAGAGACGATCATTGAAAACAGTGTGTCGTAACATTGGCATATCGGCTTTGTTCCTCCAGTGCAAATTTAAAGAAGCAGATATCCAGAGCAAACGTTTTCTTCACTGACTGACTGTGTTTAAGTTAATTATATTTCCTGCTAAAGTATTTCTTTAAGTTAAATTAGCATAATTAATCCCATCACAAGCCTCTAAAGGAACCTTTCAGCTCTGTTTGTTGTAGTTGTTGACTTGATGCCTATTTGTACAATTTAGAGAAGCAGCGCTTTACTTGCGTCTCCATTAATGATTTACCACGGGCTAAATAGCATGTGCTCAAAAAGCTAATAACCTCTCGTGTCGCAGAGAAGCATGCAGAAATGTTGATGTGTTTTCGGCGGCGTTGTGCGTAATCTGCAGTGTTAGGAGGATCCCGCTGGGGCACAGTGACGGGTGGTGATAACTCTGGAGATGGAGACTTTGGAAGGCGACAGATCGCAGGTGCCGGAGCATTAGCGCGGGAAGCTCCATTAACTCAGTGCTCGAGGGAAGCAGAACGTTCCCTCAGCGTGTTATCTGACACAACATGCCGAACATTTGCAGCTTTTCTCTGCCACGTAAAACTGCTCTCCCGTGTATTGAAGAGGTGACTTGTGGAGGAAATCGATATTCATTTGTTGACAAGGTTGTCCTCAGAAGCCTCAACAGGATGCGGCCGATTGGATGTTTATTAGCGGTGGGGTGGTAACCACATAAATATGGGCTGGTGGTGATTGAGGCAATTTGAGTTTAAATGGATCGTTCAGGAGGAAATGAGTGAATCATTGTGGCATTTGGAAATCAAGTGAGCAAATTTCTGTGCTTTAAGTGGGTGCTTGAACACATCATCCTGTTTTACAGTGCTAAATAACATTAAATGTTGCGCATTATATCATCTAGGCTTGTGTACCTTGATATTAATATACTTTGATATTGCTTGTCAGTTGTAGAGATAGTTTTAATGATATATTTGAAGATATAGGGTGTTATACCCACGATATGACATAGCAATAACATAATGCCCATAACATGGCTGTGCCCTGTTATGAAGTGACTGTTTTGTTATTGTTGTTCAGGGCGTTTCAAATTGTTTTGAAAGAACAGTTTAAAATACGTAAAAACTACATAAATAGTAAGTTTCCAAACTGAACATTCCTCTTTCCGTCTGGTTTACATTAACAATACCATGTAAGCTTCCCATCAGTGTGAATTAACACCTTAAACTACAGCTTATTATACAGTAACTATATAGACTTCAATACAAACAGGCTGAAATATCCTTAGGTCAAAGAAGCATGTAGTAAAAACTTTGGACCCACTGTTGATTCCTGACCATTTAGGGATTAAAAGAACATGACAGAACAAAAACAGACTGTCAGGTCATTTTAGCATAGAGTAGCAGTATTCAGGAAATATGGGGTCATTAACGTTATTAATGCAAACCTACTTAATGTTTGTAACCATTAAATATTTGGAAAATATACTGTAGACACTGATGAGCCCAAATCATCAAAACCAGTATCGTCATTGAATAGTGATGATAGCGAAGCAGTGTGTGACCCCGAGCCCTGGTCCAGTTTCCACGCCAAGGGTCTGAACTCAGTGTGACCTGCTGCTCCAGTAAAAACTTCGCTGCACCCATCACTCAGCCGCACACACAGCCTAATCTCTTCACATCACACAGCTCACTCCAAAACCCTGCAGTGCTGAACTAAATAGTATCAGAATGGTGCTTAAAGGTATAGTTTGAAAAATAATGTAAAAAAAAAAAAAAAGCTAGTAGTGAGTTCAAGCCTTTACAATATCAGGTTTTATATTATGGTATTGATTATATTCTGATATTGTATATGATATTGTTTTTGTAATGGGAAATGCCATAAGTCTCGTCAAACTAGCTTTCATTCATTATTAATCATATTAGCTTTTTTGGTTGAATTGCTTTCTAGGCTAGAGGCTAGAGTTATTTGTTTTTCTGCTGGACTACTTAAACGTAACTGTTAGTGGTGTTGAAGCTGATGCCGCTATTTATTTTTTTTTTTTAACACCGTTAATGCGTTTTCCCAGTTTGACCCTTCAGACCATTCATAGCTCCAGCTTGAAGCCTAGCTGCTTGTGAGCTGTTGCTATGACAGATGCGAAAGTAGTCCTCTCATTCAAATACAGCTTATGAATGGCAAGTAAGTTCCATTTACGGCCATCCTGATAAAACCAGAGTTATTTCTAACTGCTGCAGTGGTGAAGTACACTGCTGATTCTGGCAGTGCCAGTTATGTCTGTACTGTTTTAGCACTCGAGGCTGAAGACCATAAAGTAACAGCCTCAGGCTCTTCTCAGTCTCAGACTCGGCCAGTCAGGTGGACTGCAGTGCCTTCATTTGAGGTCATCAACAAACCCTTCAAACACAATAAAACTGTTCTTTCTCTACGTGTTAAATAAAATAATCCTTTCCACGACATCTTAACTGGCACAAATTGATGTTAACTGCACGAAATAATGTGATTAACTGTGATTAATTATTTAGTTTGACAGGCCTAGTAATTATGTAACTGCATAATGAATTTCATAGTGATGTATTGAATTGCATTCACATTGGACCTACATACTGTATCAACATGCAGTGCTGAATTTTGTTTTCTTTTTCCCACGAAACCTAATAAAATAACCCCTTTTCTACTAACAAACGCAAATGAGGAATGAGTTAGTACGAGTTGGAGGTACATGTGGTGCGTTTACGGTCTGAACTTTCGATAGAATTTCTCTGCTTGTTTTCAATGAGCTGCAGGTCAGAAATAATTCAGGCTCAAGCCCAGCGGTCAGGCTCACCTCTGCACTGTAAATCGTTGCTTTTAGCAGGCGGCCGCTTGGGGATGAGAGCAGGAAGGACTGAAGAGATTCAGAAATGGAAGTGGAGAAATGCGGACAGGTTGTGTTAATCTTTCATGATGCCTTTGGGGTTCTTCATCCGGTCCTGAGTTTTTCAGGCCAGTGCAGACTCAGGCCAGTTAAACTCGTCGGAGGATGCTGCTGTCACAGTCGTTAGCATGATGCTAGCTGCCACGTCGTTAGCTTCAGTTCCTTCAGTGTGTGTGACAGCAGCTGTGTGTGTTTCTCTGCGGGATGGTTCCAGTGCCATTACTAAGGCCACTCATTTATTTATTTATCTATTTTGTCTGTAACAGTTAATGAACTGAGCTAAACTCAGTGGGCAATACCTAAAAAATAAATGAGCATAATATGTTTTGGTTAAAAAATTGCTGTTATGGATTATATCCCCACCCCCACCCCCAACCAGTACACACACACACAGTACACAGTACTTTTAATAGATGTTACTCCAAACCCGTGCATTCATGAACTCCTTCTGGTGTAGATCCATTGCCACTTGCGTGCTAATAGCGCCCCCTGCTGGAGAAACATCAGACTGCGAGTGATTTCAATGCCCATGTGCTTTATGTCCAAAAAAACGCAGCAGAGGCACTCTGGAATTCAGCTATAACACGTATAAAACATTATGTATACATATTATTTGATATTATTTGCTACCTTTTCCTTTATCCTGTTTCTGTTTCATTTTCGGTTCCATACACTCAGATAATGCCAGCTGCCCTTTACGTTATGTGATCATTTACTGACGAATGGACCAAAAAAATACACACACAATATTTTTCCACACCTTCAGTATAGTATAGTCTTAGACGTTGGTTGCATTTTCTGCTTCTTACGATCAAAGCAATCTCAAACACATTCAGTGATGTTGAGGTCTGCACTCTGGGGTGGTCAGTCCATTGTTCTGAGAACTCCAGCAGCTTCTTTGTGTGTTTGCAAATTTTCTTTCTTTTTCTCAGTAACTGCTTCTTGGCAGCTGCACATCCTTTCAGATACATGGTGTTGAGTTGTCCTCACAGTGGAAGGATGTACAGAAAACCCGTGGGGTTTTTTTCAGATCTGAAGCATGAATGGAGCTTGAGCTTTAAGGACTGTTTATCTGATGGTTACGGTTTAGTTGGAACACCAGGTCTTGTATGGTAACTCAAGACATACCTCCTGAAAAATGAACGACTTGTACTTAATGATTGCTTTGACTGGAAATTAAATAAATAAAGGGTGGTCTCTGAGTTTTGCACGGTATTGTAGGTCCTCACTGGTCTCTAAATGCTTGTAGATCTTGAAAAAATGTTTTCCTAGGCTTAAGGGCCCAAATGTTTTCAAATCCTTGACGTGTCCAGTGAAGAAAATACTCTCCAGTGTCATCATCGCAGAGCCTTTGTGGATAGAGATACAAGGCTGACCAGCATCTAGTATTTTTTTCACTCTGAAAAAAGGCCTTGTTCATGACTGTAAATAGCGCACTCTTCAAAAACCTTCAAACCTTCCAAATCATAATGGAGACAGTCCACTTTAAATGTGGATGTCG